CCCATCGTCTTCTCTCCTAGGCCCAAATATCCTCCTCAACACCCAATTCTCAAACATGAATATTGTTTTTTCACTGTTCCGTAAAGACGCGCATGTAGTAACAGAATCAGAACTGTAACCTGATTGTCGACCAGTTTCTAGGTCGCTGACAATTTACTCTGGTCGACAAAACGCTCGACGTCGCTATTATTTCTGTCGTAAACCACTTTCACCCTTAGCTTCGTGTTGCTAATGTGACGAGCAGTCCTCGGCCTAGAGCAGTTTTCAGGAACGCGTCTGAATTTGCCCCGTCTCAGTCCGCGTCAAACAACAGGAATTACGCTCTTGTTTTAGAAGCAGAAATGTTAAACCCTCGTCAACACTATTACGGGTTTGTTCGTGACAGCGCGCGTCAATTTCCTGCGAGTAGTTACAAAGATTCGGTCCTTCCCCGCCCTCTTACCTTGTACTTCATATTCATCAGCGCGATGCAATGTTGATCCATCAGCAGCTGTTGTTCAGTTGGTCGACCTTTTCCTACTCGAGGCAAGTCACCCACCATAGCTAAAGTGAAAGGATGCGTCTTTACAAGAAGTTCTCCCAATGTTCGACCTTCTTCAAAACGAGACACGGCATCCAACATAGCTCGATCAATCTTGGGACCCAAGGTCAAGAACCCGCAGTTGAGAAGTAAAGTGGCGACTTCGCAGAATCGTCTGCACACGAGCCTCACTCGTCTAGCCAAGACGTCGTAAGAGCAACGTTCGAAAATGAGAGCCAGCGCCTCTGGCGGCAAGTCCGTGATGTGCAGTCCAGAGGGTTCCTGTTCCTGTTGACTGCAGGCTCCACCTTTATCCGAGCCTTCGTTGCCACGTTCAAGTTTTGACTTGATACGTCGAATAAACTTGTTCATCCCGACGAAGACTTTATGACCAAAATATTCCTGGTGGTTAAATTATTTTATCTGAGTAAAATATTCACGGTCTACGATTAAGCGCTTGTTCACGTTTCTCGCCACACAAGACGTCAACTGGCCGTTGCTAAGAGACAGTCAACAATGAGAGAGACAGAAACAATGTGAAACAGTCAACGTAGTACAACAATGCACTGACGTCATGTCTCGCTGTTTACACTTCCAATAATCAGTTTGCTCGCCAAGTTATGTATTGTCGTAGGGGTATAACGATCCTGTACCAACTGCATCAGCTACATAACATCGTATAATAAGAGAATATTATCTCTTTCGGTAAAATTGAAAGGCTTTGACTTAAATCGTTCCTTCGTTGACTGATTCAAGGCGGACTACGTACTGCGAGGTAGACCCACTATGAAACCCGTCGTTTAGAGTAGACGAGGCTTAAATCGGCCACACCCAGAAGCATTGCCGAATTTAAAATCCAGCGGTCTGTGTGTCAGCGCCCACTTCAAAATGTAAAAATGCAGAAGGTGATTAATCTTTCCTACGAACGACGTCTTGGAATCTGGAGCAGGGTTTTGCATGCGAAGATGCAAATGCATGGCTTTCATTTGTATTTTGATGATGTGTCTTTTTAAGCATTGAAACTGTCCAAACGTATCAACTGCATGGCTTTTATAAGCGACGTGAACAGGTGGTTTTTAGTTAGACTTCCTGAAAAACGCGACTCTCTCAATTCCTTTCTGTTTCAGGGGTGTACAATAGCCATTTCTCTCACCGGTGCATTTTCACTGCTGAACACGCGAGTGCTGGCAGAACATTCCAGAAATCCGAATAAACCCAAGTCCACGTTAATTCTTGAACGGAACTTTGATTTGTATTGATTCCTTATTCAAAAGTCTCTGCCACATGTAGTTTACACGTTCTAACAAACATACTCTGCCCTTTTCTGATGAAAATCTGTACATTCAGAGTCCAGTTTACGTTTTTGTTTCTGTTCAATTTATACTAGTTTCATTTAACTACAAGCAACGCAAAGCAGTCATTTTTTTAAAAATGTACTCGTTACTTACACTTTGAACCAGGGTCGCCTTCGACGTTGCGATGGCTTAGGCGCCCTGGAAGTAGGAATGTAACGTAAAAGTACAAGACTGACAAGAATAAACAAAGAAGACGTCGTTAAATACGTAGATTGGAGAAGAAGAGTCCGTCCCCAGCCATGGACCACATCTTCTTGGGTGAACACACCAAAGCAAAGGCTTGCAGAGGCGGGCAGAATTTCCTGTGTGTACAAGAACAGAGCGGGGCTGGGCCCTTTTATTACGCGTTCGTGGTTGGCTTCATGCACGTTTCTGGACGCCGTTTAAAATGGAGAGTGCATTAAACTAAAAGTAATGAATGAATCTTTTCCCGGCCATGTTTGAGTTTTGGTTCGTTGTCGATTACGTCACATCTTTCAAGCAACTTTTTTGATTCGTCGTTGAGTTTCGATGTGACCGACGCTGAGTGCTTACTTCGCGCTCTTTCAGTGATCACACTAACGCGTGTTAATTAATTGTAGTGTTTTTACTGCTCGCTCTGTTCGACCAGGTTTCTGTGGCAAAACAAAAGTGCGAAAGAAATCAAGCACAAATATCCCACGTGGTTGTATTTATCGCCTGACGAAATGCGTGCCGTCACCCTCGAGAACGCTGTACAACATTTTCATCACTTGGCCGCGAGGCGACACGTGAAAATGATGAATGAATGTTTTGATGACTTCATCATCAAATGCATCTACTACAGCGACCTTCTTCTTTTTTGGACGTGATTTCGCCGGTTTTGAAGACGAAGCTGACGTGCCTTTGTCGACTTCCTTTCCCTCTTTTATAGGAACATTCCTTATTCTACACGTGATTTCCTTTTCCAGTTAACGTGTCATACATCTGTATTATTGTCAGTCTTTATCAGCTAATCTGCTATCGTCACTTGACGACTTGTGAGTTTGAAAAGTAATGAGATTGGCAACATTGCTCATCTTCAGTGGCCTTGATCGAGATGGCACATGTACTGTTTTGTTTCCTCAAATGTGTTTAGCTAATAATATAAATATCGTCATTTTCCAAAGCATATGTGTCTGTAAAAGCTCTTGTACAAAAATCCTGTTTTGTAGTGGTGGTACAGAATAAATAAATAAAAAATAAATCCGTGGCGTAACAGCTCCAGAGAGCCCAAGCTGAGAAGCTTGACTGCTGGCCTCATCTCTCAAGTGTGTTTAGCTATTAATACAGATATAATAATTTTCCAAGGCATGTGTGTAAAAGCTCTTATACGAAAATCCTGTTTTGCGATGGTGGAACAGAACGACATTTCATATGTTTAAGGCAGAGATGTGCAATGGAATTTTGTGTGAAGCTCAGAAAAAGCGATGAAGAGTCGTTAAAGGTGTTACAGAACGTGTATGGAACAGAAACAATTAGCCGAGCTACAATGTTTCAGTGGTTGAACCATTTTAAAGATGGAAACAAAAGGGTGGTTGGCGACACTCGAAGCGGGAGACAAAGCACCATCATCAGGAAAAGTGGTGCTGGTATTATATTTTGACCCAAAAGGCACTATTCTTCCACAATGGCTACCTCAGAAGCTAACTGTGAATGGTATTTACTATACAAATTCACTTAAAACTTATTTGGGGAACGTAGTTCAGAAAGAAGTGACCGGAGTTCTTGACAAAAATGTGGTGTCTGCTTCAAGACAATGCACGAACACATATTGCACATGTGGCCAGGCCTGCGAAGTCGGTAAAATGTACCGACCACGACCTCTATATAAAATCTTAAGAACACTTTCGCTACCATGTGAGCCGCCAGCGGCCTCACGCTTAGCGAGATTCAACTACGCATTGAGCCACATGGTGTGTTAATAATGCTTTGTAACTTTCGCTCCTGCACCTTAAGAATACAAACTGTCTACAAATCAACTGATTTCTGCAATAACCATTAGACGTGAATTTAAATATATTTTATAAGTCTAAAAAGTAGGCTGATGAGCCACGTGGTGGTGATTAAATGTCTTGTGTTACCATTTTAGTAGGTTTACCATTATTAATAAATATTGAACTTTTATGAAGGAGCCAGAGTCAGAAGTTTTAATACTGACTCCACAGCCCTGCATGTGGCGAAGGAGGCGCTACCAGACATCGATGGACCACCGGTAGAACACCCACCCTACAGTCCAGACTTTACTTCATTTGATATTTGAGCATTTCCAGCACTTAAACAAGCTACTGCCGCTGCCCTATGTAAGATATCTGGAAATGGCCTACTGCACGCGTTTCAGAAGTTGGTAAGAAGCTGCAAAAAATGTATAGCACATCAAGGCCGTTAACTTCGGCAATGAAAGTGCCAAAGTCTCAGGAATCCTGAGATGGTGCATAATTCAAGTAGTCGCATTACTTTTCAAACTACCCTCGTAAGGGGGGAGGATGTGTGCTATTGGTAATAATGCTCGTATAGTGCGTCAAAGATCAGGTTATGACTGTATGGATATAGTTCAGCTGTTGGTTTGGTATTTGGGTACAGTATATGTGGTGTTTTTCTAATAGTTTAAATGTCTTTCTTTACTGACTGTTTTTATTACTTCCAAGCATCTTCTGTGTTGCCATAGGATTCCCCTGTATTTGGGATATGTTGTGCATTACCTGATGATCTCTATTGTTCCATATTGAACATATATGTTCTTTAAACCTCTCTTGAAGTGTGTGATCTCTTTGTGCTATATGATTAGTGTGCAGTCTCTGCAGTTTAGTTTATTTGCACCTCCATCATCAGGTTTTTTTGTGATTTAGGTTTTTGGTGTTTTTTTAAAGATATCAGTGGTTTGCAAAGCTATTTTTATCAGTATTTTTTTAATTTTGTTATATACCAGGTTGTTTTTCCATGTGTCTGCAAATGTGGTCTATTTTTCCTTTTGTCCTTTGTTTATTTGTGCTATTATCTTGTTTTTATGTTGATGTTTTGTATTTACTATTGTTAAATTTGTTCCATATATTTGTATTATGATAATTTTTTTCTGTTATTTGCCAAGTGGAATTTAATTTCTTACTTTCATTCTTTGTTTTATAATGGATATTTTTGCTACTTGGTTGAACAGGTAATTGTCTCTGTTTTGTGCTCTGTAGGATGACGACATGTTTGATGTACAGTCATACTAGAGATGGCTTCCAGTATGTGTTAGTTAATTGATCTTGTAATTCGAATGTGTGGTGTTTCCTTTCTGGCAGGTATTGACTGAATTATTTAATAATATTTAGACGACTTCACCTGTAAAGGGTTAAGGGAAGAACATCCGTTGATGTTTTTTGACAGTTGGGTACAGAGTACAATATTTGGAACAGTGAAGGAAATAATGGGGAATGGAGAAGACTGCTTAATGAGGAGGATAATATTAAAATAGTTCTTAAAGAAGTAGGATATAATCACAAGGACTGGATCCTTGTGGCTAAGGATAGCAACCAGTGGCAGGCTCTTTGAACTCACTCTGTAAACCTTTGAGTTCCGTATATGCGGATAATTTCTTGACTGCCTGAGAACTAGTCTATTCAGCAAACTTAGTTCAGTAAAGAAATGAAACATTCGATTTTACGTTTGATTTGTTCAGTTGTTCTTGAGGCTGTTCGTACAGCACATGCATTACCACAGTTGTAATCTAATTCTTTCAGTCCAGATATATATAGACGCTCTTTTATGATGCTCGATATAATTATCAGCTCCTCCAAGTTACCTGTCACCCAAGAAAGGTTATCGATCCTTGCTCTAGCCCTTTATTTTGCAAGCATGGTCCATAGAATGAGACATGTCTAACGTCTTCTTGCGCAGATCATGAATATAGAAGTTGAGGATTTTGGAGATACACAAGAAGAGGAGAATCCTTTAACAAAAGTTCCATTAATAAAGTCTGAACATGAGGTGAGTTTCACATTTTTATGCACTTTTAAGAAATATGTAGGATTACCTGTTGTGTTTCTCTTGTCCATCTCCACATGAAGCTATTTCACTCCGGTGAATGTATTTGGAAGTGTCCTTTGCAAAATGGTGCTAGATGACTGAATTTTGTTGCTCAGTGTTTATGAAATACAA